TTAAAAGTTATCTCTATGAAATTTGGTGAATCAGCATTTTAGCACTAAATTTTAAATTTAGTCTCAGCGCCAATGTTTTAAACAGTTTTTTTTAAAAGTTTTAAAACATCTAAAAAACTGTTTAAACCGTTTTTTTTTCATCCCTAGTATATGGTTCCGAAATTAAGTGCCCGAAATTAAACACCACCAAATTTTGTATAATATCCGAAAATAAGCACCTCCTAAGTATGTCGTATCCAATTTTTTTTACTAAGCATGCCTATTTTCTGCTTATAAATCTCTAGGTAAAAGCGATTATAATGGTGGTAAAAACCATCAAAAATCGGTCCAGATGAACTTTCACAATTAATCTTCGAAGTTTAGGCGACTTTTGTTTACGCGTCTGTAGATCATGTAAGCAAATATAAACGTCGCCCGAACTTTGAAGAACATTCTACTGGACCAATTTTGATTTACCATGTCAGCCTGGAGAAAATTTACTTAGAAGCTGAAGGTAAGTTTACTTAGTACAAAAATTCTATATTATTTATTCTTAAAATTATATCCGAAAATAATTTCGGAATTTTACGATTTTCTCTGATTATAGAAAACAGCAGAATTTTTCCTAAGTACAGCCAACCACAGAAGTTACCCTCAATCACCGCAGAATATCAGAATTCTAAAAAAGTGGAGAATATCGCAGAACCATAAATTAGCCCGACATCGGGAAGGTAGACAATAAATCATTTACGAACATGTTTATCGGAAAGTTATGGATTTAAATAAGTTTTAGAAGAATTAGATAACGATAAAATTTTCTATTTATAATTGCATAGAAATCATAGACTGGCGCCACAGAACTATGCAGAATTTTTTTAAAAAAATTATCGCATTAAATCACACAGAATTTAGCCTCAACCACTGCAGAAAATCATCGGCCCTGAGCGAGAACATATGATAATCGACCGATGATCCAATTATAAGTGCAATATAATACGATCAGAAATAACTGATAATGATAACGGAAAAAAATTTGTCCGTGTTTTAAAATTGTTCATATCGATATCTTAAAAATTCACATAGCAAACCGACTTTTATGTTCTAACTAAATTCTTTTCTTGTGGAATTTTACCTTATAATGTCAATTATTTCGTAAAAATCCTATCACGTGTGCGGACAAATCTGCGCGCTGAATATGGTGGGTAGAATTTATTTATTTGTAAACCTAAGAAATACGTCACTCTAGTTACGCCGAATCATAGTAAAATCTTCTACCGTATAAACGCGTAATAACGCGCAGGGGCACGTTACTTTAAGCCCCTGTGCGTTATTTCGGGACTTTCGAAAAAAAAATTTTCAACTACTAAGAACTTTCTTGAGACATCATAATAGAACTAGAAAAGGGATACTTGGTTTTTTTGGGATAAGGCGAATAAATTCTAGTTATTTCCCGTCTCATTATGATCGCATGACGGGGATTTGCGTGTTATTAATCACAATTATCATCACAAATTCTTTTCTTTTTTTTTTCTTATTTGTTATCACCCCGGACTTTATTGTTATCACCCCAAGGGAAATAACAAATAAGAAAAAAAAAAGAAAAAAATTCGCAATATAAGTTGTGATTAATAAAATGTAAATCCCCGTCATGCGATCATAATGAGACGGGGAATAACTCATTTATTCCACCGTGCCGGGGAAATAATTAAAATATTCCCCCAGCGGTGTTTGTATAGGGCGCAAAGCGCCCCATACATATACCTCTGGGGAAATATTTCATTATTCCCACCGTCCCGGGGAATAAATAGTACATATACTGTTAAATCATATTTAATCATATGATAATAAATAGGTTTCGAATTTACCTATATTCAAATTTATTCGAAGAATCAAATTGGTACATATTGAGGGGCGCGTTATTTTGAGACGCGCATGGCGTCATATGCCATTTTTTTAAAAAAAATGACGTGCGTTATTACGCGGTTATAATTTTAATATAAAATGTACGCGTTTTTTTCAAATTTTAATATAAAATGTACGCGTTTTTTTCAAATTTTAATATAAAATGTACGCGTTTTCCCCCAAATTTTAATATAAAATGTACGCGTTTTTTTTCAAATTTTAATATAAAATGTATGCGGTTTTTTTCAAAATTTAATATAAAATGTTGGTACAAATCACTGTATAAACATTTTGAACTTTTTACTAACAACCAAGAGTGACGTGTATAAAAATAAACTTTGTGACAATAAAATTTAGTATTAGGCATCAAGATTAGAGGCCATATGATAAAATTATCATTTGTTATATGTGAAAATTCATTTCCGTCATTTTAATTAATAATATTTTCCAAAATAACATGCATATTTTTAAATAACGCGATGGGAGTTAATTCATTTCACACATATAATAATCAAATCACACACTTTAACAACATCTACCACATACAGTTATTTAAAGACAAAATATATACAAATATCCCAAACAAAGAGAAATAATACATATATAAAAGTATTTTCACAAACCATATATATAATAGCCCGCCCAAACCTAAAATATATACCCCAAAAATTTTTTTGTTCCAAAGTTCTTATATAATGTTCCTATAAACCTTATATGTTAATCTTCATTATCACCAGTTGAATATTCTTGTAATGACCGCTTTCATCCCTAACCACTGCCAACATTAGTATTATCCCAAAGTCTTCGATCTATTGCTATCATCAGCAACACTTGAATTTACTTGTTCATTAGGTGAAGTAGAATTCTCAATAACATTTCCAACGCCAGCCCCATTACCGTTATGCTCACCACTTGTTCCTTCACTTTCATCAAAGAAATAGGTGTTAAATTCATCACCACCCATACAACCATATAATTCTTGCATAATAGAACCTAAATTCTCCAATTCCCTAATAACATCTTCCATAACCAAGACATAAGCATAATAAACAATATAATGTTCATCATTACCATCAATAACTCGTTGCCTAACCATAGGTAAATCACGAATCTTTTTTAATAATTGTCTACGAGCTCTTTCGGCTGGTGGTAAATATGCTGGTAAAGGTGTTTTCAGTCGTAAAGCAGCAGCAAGAACATAAAAATATAATAATACATTCCCCACCAATTCTCTTCTTTCCTCTGCAATAGGAGTAATAAAATCCTTTCTAGTAACAGAATACCATTCTTCTTTTGTCACAGCTATTCTCATTGATAATAATTTATCTAAAATATTTTGACATCCTATTAATATTTGACGATATGTACTAACAGGAAATGGACCTTTCAAACGTGGTTCATTCGGTGTTTGCTCTAATAAACCACGTAATTTTAATAATGAAATTTGAAGGAGTAATTCCATATCCATAAATTCTTTTGTAGAAATTGATAAACGATTTTTAATCATAACGGATGTATGATTAGAACTACTTGAATTTGATGTTTCTTGAATTTCTGATTCTACTGAATAAATGGCCACTAATTTTTTATATAACCATCCCATGTTAACAAATAATTGACTTAGACCTTTTCTAAGTTCTGCACGAGCTTCGTATGGCCACCAATAACTTGTTACTACCACACCCCAAATTATACCAGCACCTACTGCTATAAGTCTATAAAAAGCTATATCAAAAATTCCCATATTATCATTAGAATTACGTAAATTATATTTATATAATGCTACCAAGTTATATGTTAATAAACCAAATCGACCAATACGATTGTATTTTGTGTATAACATTAAGTGAAAACAAACTACAGCAATGAAAAAGCCAATTATGGAGAGGATGACTGGACTGTTACTAAATAATGTATAAATCGACCACGCAAGAAAGCATCCGAGTAATGTACCTAAAAGACGATATACTCCCATAAGGTTTGTGCCACCCACCGTTGGAACCATGACTACCATCATCTAAAAAGAAATTATTAAATCATAATTAATATATTATTAAAATAAAATAACGATAAAATTAAATTAATTAATTAATATAATTACCGTAATCAAAACCCATTCACCTCGATAATGAGTGTAAATATCTCGTGTACTTTCAATAAATGCAGGACTTGCCAAAATAGCAGCACTAACTGCTGCTTTGACAGCATATTTAACTTCAAATTGTCGAAACCAAGAGAAAGATTTCCAAAGTTTAATTGCAATTTTTTGTGAAAAAGTTTTAGGTTTTGGAGTTTGAATTGTATCAAAAAGATTGTTTGTATTTTCAGGAAATTTATCTTTTGCTTTTGCTTCTCCTGTATTACGAGAAGCCCAAATAGAATATCTCCAAAATTGCCACCATTTCCTTCCTTCTCGTCTTTTTTGATCATTTGCATCAATTCTTGAAATATCATATGTTAAATCAACCAAACAACATAATTCTCTAGTGAATTCTTGTAAATTGAATACAAAGAAATATATAAGGAATACTTCTTCATTAGGTCTTTCATCAAAATAACTTTTTGTTGACTTTTGCCTATAAAGTTTAGCGAGAGCACGTGATTGCGATTTTTCAAATAATTCTAAAGCAGATTGAAGATTTTGTTTAAGTAATCTAAATGATGGCGCAATCTTTGAATGTACTTTATCACTTTCAACAAATTGTTCTTGAAGATGATAAAGTGATTGTTTACAAGTGAATGCAAGAGATTTCATATGTGGACCAACATAATGAATAAGTTCTAATAAAACCTTTAAATCATAAGCGTCTTCATTTTCATTTTCACTTGGTTTATGATTCGAAAATTTTTCTTTATCTTTAGAATCTTTCAAGATCTCCCATTGAAGTCCACAACAACTTCTTAAACCACCTAAATGTTGTGCTAATCGAGTTAAACTTTCAACAACTTCTTTATATAAATGAAGTTTTTTTTGCATATTGCAATTATGTATTTCGAGTGCCGCTTGTCTTAATGATTCACGAAGAGATGTAAAAGTTGCACGATATGATTCGATCGCGGATTGTACAGATTTATCGGTGTAATTTATATCATCAACCAAGAAAGTTTTGGTAAGGAGTTTTAACAAAAGACGAAATGAACAAAGAGTTTTACCAATATCATTTCTTAATTTAAAGATGATAAATTTTAAAATAGTTAGAGAATAATGAATAATGAATAATGAATGCTGTATGAAAAAAAAAATTAAAAAATGGAATATTGCCTACCCTAATTTGTTACTCGCACTCATAGGCCAAATTAACACAGAGACAAGAAAACTTATTAATACAGCAATAAGGATTATTTTTGTGATTTGTAAAACCATATTCAGTTCGATTGTTTCTATATACGGGCCACCTTCTCTGGTTATAGAGATAAAAATGATTATATTTGCTAAAGAACAAGCTAAAATAAACAGAACCGAACGTGAAAAATTAAAAAAGAATAATCAATAAGATAGTAATAAGATAAATAAATAAAAAAAGTAAAATAGTCAACGGTGATAAACTTACCACTACTGAAGGTTGGTTTATTAAGTTTTGCTTTACTGAAAGCAACAAAGAACATACTTCCTCCACACCAAAATACGACCGAGAGGATATGCCCCCAAAAATTCAAACCATGATCGTTGAACCATACCGTACATAACATACTACTAATACTAACAGTCATACCATATATACCACCTATAATTGCAAAGAAAACAGCTTCATAAATTCCACCAAAAGATTTTGCTGGATCAAAAAATACTGAGACAGTTGCCACAAGATGAGAATTATAAGATTTATCGAAACCGCAATATTCGTTTAAAAACGGAATATAAGTGAATAATGAAGCAATAAAATAGGCCAATGCACATTTGATAATGTTTTTATTATTTTGAGTAAATACGTTCGTTTGTAACCAAGATTTGGCAGAATGATAGTACGACGAGAAACAATTTGCATAACCATTTTCTTTTTTAACTTTATTAGCACAATCTGAATCAGAGTCCGTATCGTATAGATCAAGCAATGGTGTATTCTCATCAACTAAAGTATTTTGTCTAATTATTTTAAATTGAATAAAATTGAAAAAAAAATTTAATAGAGATATTATTATACTTAAAAACGCAAGCAAAAATTTATATACATGTATATATATTGAATACATACTTTGAATACACAGAGGTTAAAGAAACTCTCCTCTTTTGTATTGAACCATCATCCATGATAACACAAGATATGCTTCCACCGTCGTCATAATTTGGAGATGCTACAATATCTTCGTACAAAACATATCGTTCATCATAAGAAGAACCATCATAATAATGTCTTAAAGCATTCCAGGGAGCTTTCTGACTAGAAAAGGAAGCCGCATAAGAACCCGGAGTGGTCGGATAAGTACCGCGGCTACGCGAAAATTTACGATTATTTGGATGAGTATTTGAATTTAGTGGTAATTTTAAAGGTATATTTGTGCCTCTCCGTGAATATAAAGAATCATCATTAGATGGTTTAGAATCCAAAACTGGTTCAGTATTTCTATTATTGCTATGACTTTGACCTAATTCAATTTCACTATGTGGATATTCTCTTCCGAAAGATTGAGGATGATTGACTAATGATCCATAATTCCTATGTAATATTGGGTCAGGAGAAAAACTATTCGAAGTATAATAACCAGGTTATTAAATTTTTATTTTAAGAAATAAAAAAGATAGAATGAATAAGAGTAAGTACCTAACACCACGACTTGATGGCACCTTTGCTGATGTAGTTGCACTCGTTTCGAATCGATTTGTTCCGTTATCAACTGGCTCTTGTGGTTTACTCATTATTATAAGTTAATGCGAACAAGAAAATTTTGAAGGTGTTTATAAGTACGGGTACGTAGAATAAATAAAATTTTTTAGTGTTACCAATTAAGACCTTGCATTGCAAATAATTGATCATGATGTAATAGAATCACAAAATCGTTTATGATATACATGATGTACACGCTAATTAGGCATTGGCAGAAATTTTACTTTGTCCATGAAAAAAGTTATGTTACAAATAAAATATCTCGATTATTACGATTGTTTATTTCGTTTTCCCCCATCATTAGTAATAATTTTCCCTGTCGTAATTTGTTTTAAACCATTTTTGTTGTCATTGTGCATTCTTGGCATAGTTCAAAACTTGTTCTTCGAGATGTTAGCAAGTAATAAATTGCAAAAGAGTGTCATATAAGGATATACCGAAACTTAAACTTTAAACAAACTATATATTAAATAATCTATTATTATATAATTAAAATTATTAAAAAAAAATAAACCCACTATCACTATCGCTATAGTGTGTAAATAATAGATAGCGTAAATGGACTAGTATTTTAAAAGGGCGTTGTGTTTCGTAATAATCCAACCCAGATTTGATCTGGAATTGACTTACCTAAGGTTATTTTTGCAAAGTGACACAACAAAATCACGTTTTAAAATATTGTATATATTCCCTAAATGTATAAAAAATTTTGGATTTAATATTAATAATAACACAAGAATGGTTCTTATGGCTTAAATGCATATATTATCGTTATACTGTCTATATGCATAAAAAAAAGTCTCTGATAGATGACATGCATTTAGATAGCATCGACCGTATTAAGAAGGCATAAACATTGACATTTGGCTATAACCAATGACCGCAGCCAAATAGCCAAAATTAAACATAAAATTATTTGGCTGAAACGGCTAAAAACCCATCATGTAGTAAAAGTAGTAATTGATTAGCTTATTATTAAAAAAACCTTTGGCCAAAGTTTTGTCATTGATTATTAGCCGATAACCAAACATTGACAAAGGACCAAAAAAAGTGGCGGGCCACAAAAATTGCCAACAGTGAGTGTAAAGACAGTGATGCATAAAGTAAACATAAAAAAAAGATAATAATATTACTTGGTCGTTATTTATAGGTTATTCGAAATAATTTTTGATGTCGTAGTGGATTTGGAATTCTATGAATTCTGAATCCACTTCTGCACTTAGACGGATCTGAATTTATTCAATTTTACTTTAAAAATGAATTTATCTAGAAAGGCAAGCTTTACTATCTTTTCAAGCTTAGAATTAAGGCTTAGGTTATACTAAGCTTGTTTTAGAGTACTAAGCGTTTCACTTATCAGTTAGTACTGTACTTCAAACACCAATTATAAAACCGTTTTTAAAAAATAGTACACGTATTACCTTCGGTGAACGTTAAACTCGCTCTAAAAATAAATTTTAAATAAAACATAACAATATATAATAGTTTATAGGGACGTTAACAGCTCGGTTAGTCGGTTTTTAAGTTGGTTGAGTCGAGTTTTTTTAGTCGACTTCAAAGTCTACTTCAATAACCACATGATATTTGAATAGATATAGCAAAAGCGGTTTTCAATTTAAACTAAAATGTGAAATTTTATGTGCATACTAAGCATATGTTGTACGTACGTACGTAAGGACGTACGTACAGTACATTGAATTGCATTAAACCAATTATACTTCTCTCATCATAAGATTTTTTACTTGAGTCTAAGTCGACTTCTGGAGTTGAATCATTTTGGACCGAAGGTTTAATAACCCTAATAGTTTATCGCTGTTTTCGAATTAGTGCGATCAATGAATTTTGTGAATCCATGAATGCTGCATGTTGTCATTGTTAAAACAATGGTGGCATGCAAGATTCATGGGATTCATAAAATTCATTGATCGTATTAATTCGAAAATAGCAATAAATATGGCACTTGATTATATAATTTTTTTTTGCTTTTTAGGCGGCAACTTTAGCCTGAATTTTTATTTGATATTTATAAAGGTTTATGATTATCTTCAGATTATTAATTTGATAAATAATTGTTTATTGTATTGTATTTGCTTAAAAAATGTAACTTATTTTAATGAATAGGTTTTTTAAAACTGGTTAAATTTGATAAATTTTGTTATATTTTAATAAACCTTTTAATTTATATATTATAGTTTTTAAAATATTTATTATTGTATTCTTTGAAATTTGAAATTTTTAATTTATAAAAATTATTAAGTGTTAAAGATGTATTTATATGAAAAATTAAGTGCTAAACATTTGATTAAGAGCTCTAATGATATTAATAATCTTTGAAATTTTTTTCTTCTTATACCGGGTACCATACGTTTCTTAAAGAAATGTTAAATATATATTACAGTATTAATAATTAATAAATAAGCATATGTTCTGAATAAAAGAAGCTTTCCTATAATCTGTCCCCAACCATATCGTAACACGAAAAAATAGCAAACCTTGATTTATACTCAGGTATATGTATGACAGGGTATATTACGTGTGAGTATATTGTGAAAAGAGTACAATAGCCCATTAGAAAAAAAAACAATTTATTATTAAATCGGCCGATCAACAAACATAGTACGTAATCCATTTTTTTTAGAGCCTGAAAAATTTCCGAAATTCCTACTCAACTACGCAGAAAAAATATGTTTTTTTGGATTCCTTCAAGCATGCTCTGAAATATGTAATATTAAGAAAATAGCTCCGTAGCGTTATAGAACATATCAAGAGGAATCCAAAAATTATATTTTTATTTACAGACTTCAAATGTGTAAGGAATTCATATTTTTCTATTTGAATTTCGGAAAATTTTTTTGTTGATCATTTGATATCGCACAAGGGGGTGGGTAGGGGATACCTTGCACGGCAATTTACGGTAAAGATTTTATAAACTTTGTTAACCATACATACATTTGAAATTATTGAAATTATTGTTGCAATGCACTCTACTTACGTACATAAATATTTGTTTTCACAGGATGATTAGAAAATGGAAATTTTATAAAGAGACAATTATGAATTGCATTTAAATTTTGATTGGCATACATTGCTTTTAACGACTACGCAATCAAGAATGTTTTCAGTTTTTAATATTTTACATGTTCTGATCCGGTACATACCTGCTTTTCTGACACTAAATAAGTTAAACAAGTCAGATGATCGAATTATGTAATAGTCACTGATTACACAACATACTACACGACATATACACACACTGATAAAATATCGCGATCTGTGCAGAAGTGTACTTTTAATCTAAATAATTATTAAATTCTTATGTCTTACTATAATCAACAAGTATACGGTAAACCACCTTCACAAGGTCCTCCACTACC